GGGGGGGAAATGCCACCTAAGCACAATCCAGAGAAATAAGCATGAACATTGTGTTTGCACTATTAGTTAGATTCAGGAAACATCTAAAGGAAAATAGCTTCGTCATTGAGTGTTTGTAGGATGAAGGACACAAAACATTAAAGTTAGAGCTCATAAACTTTTCTTATGCTATGGTTTCATATAATAAAAACATATTAAAATATTAGTACAGGTGAGTTTTTTCTTTTTTTTAAAAAAAAAATAATAACTTTATTGAGTGTTCTCTAAGATAAAGGAATGAGATGTAAACCACTATATGTTAACATAAAGTAATCTTCTCAGTAATTGATGTTGACCCATTATAGCACAATCACTATATTCTAACCCCTTTGTGTGGAAAATATTCTGCAATTTTCTGCTTACTTAAAAAAGAAAACTTAACATCATTTATTACAGTGTGCTTAGAGTCAGTTGTCTTAACTCTTCCATTATTGTCAGCTATTTCTGCTGATGTGCCTGTCATCAATAGATTACTGTTTATTCCATTCCTTTTTTGCTCTGAGAAGTGAGAAAGTCTTACCAATCTTAAAAAAATAATATGTAAATTTAACATCAAACACTCAATTTTTGATTTGGAGAATCTTGCTATTATTCCTTTGGCCTTTTTCCTATTCTCTCTTATATTCTGTTTCAGCCACAATGGCTTCCCTAATGTCCCACCTATATGCTAGACCAGCTTACACCCCGAACTTTTACTCTTGCTGTATACCTTGAACATTGTTCCTCAAATGTCTGCCCACTCTTACCTCTTTCAGGTCTTTGTTTAAATGTCATGTCACTTACCTGTTTAAAATATCAACCTCCTGGGGGTGGGTTTGTGTTCCCTACCTTCTTTCTGTGTTGTTTTTCTCCACAGTACTGATCACTTTATATATAAATTATTCATGTGTTTGCTTATTGTTTTTCTCCTCCACTAGAATGTGAGCTCCATTAGGGCAGGGTTTTTATCTGTTTTGTTATATTCACAGAACTTAGAATGGTGTCTGGCAATTAAATATTTGTTGAATGATGATCAATGAGTGACAGTGCCCAAAGTTTCATACCCTAGCTTTGTGAAAAGTATTAGCTCAGAAGCTTCATCCTTTTCTATATTTCAAATGGTTGAGGTCATTTGAACAATACCTTTGGATAATTTTGTTATATCTGTACTAACCGTTAAATGGATGAAGGATTGAAAATAAATGGAAGAACCTGTGATCTAGTTATGGTGGCAGACTACATTTACTTTAGAACAACTCAGAAAAGTATCATCATACTTTATTATGACTAGCTCTAACAAATCTTGTACAGCAAGGTAGATGAGATGAGTACCTGCTTAAATCCCATTGATCCTTAGCTCACTCAAAACGGTAAACACTTAACATGTTGATAATCATGATGTAAGACATTATATTAAGTATTGAGTAAGGTTCAAAGGTGCTTAAAACCATAGTTTTTTTCTAGATGAGACTTTATGTATTCACTGTGCTACGTTGTAATGGATGCTGGGCATCAGGAATACTAGCATGGTAAAGACACTAATGCTGTATGTGTGGAACAGAGGAAGACTGGGGTACTCAGAAACATGAGGAATACATCTGCAAAGCCACAGATGGAAGAATTTGTTTTTTAGACATTTCACAGACTAATTTGTTAAGAAAGCAATAGGAGATAAAGCAATAGGAGAGAAAATTAGGTTAAGATCAGACCAAATTAAGTTTAAAGTAAGAAAGCAAAGTATGAATGTACTATGTTTTAGTAGAAAGCAGAAACAGTAATTTTGTTTCCAAAAGTAAAGATTTAAGCTTTGTTGAAGGTGACTGAAGCTGATAGAAGGAATGATAGCTTCTCTAGGAATCTGAATTTGATAATACTTAGTAATGACTAAAATATCCTAAACAGAAGACAAGTTGTCTTTTTAAAGCAACTAACACTAAAGAAAGTATAAAGTACATTACAGTGTGAAGGTTATGGTTGGGGTTCCACAGAGAGAAAACTGACAGCCACAAGAGGTCCTATAAATGCTGAGTGTCTGGACCAGGGTAGTGATAGTTTTGTTGGGACCAGGAAATTGGCAGGGCCTCCAGAGGAAATGTAGGTAACTTGGAGAGAGAAGAAAATGACCATATCAGTTGCGTATTTTTTGTAAAGCTGGTTTTGTTTGGTTGTTTTACAAGTATTTGAGGTATATGGTGATAATGGTGGATGGGTGAGTTGTAAAGAAAGTTGTGTTAGGACTGGAGCAATATATTTAATGAATAACTCATTGATGGAGAATTTTCTAAGAAAGTTGGTATAGGTAGTGGTGGGATAGACTTACGTTTTCTTTGGATAGTTAGGATGCTAAAATTATAATTATGCTACTACAGCATAAAATTTTCTTAGACTACATACAGTTTTTAAAGGCTACTTGTAAAAAATCCCCCACTTATTTCTCAATTTTTTCTTCAAAATATATAGCTTTTTGGAATAAAATTTACCCTCAAAAAGATAAATGTACTGTAAATAAGTTGCTTATATTTATATGAATTGTTAAAGTTTAAAAAAAGTATTACAAGGAGTTTATATACATTGATACGCCGAGTATAAATACTTATCTATAATTTGAAGGGAAAATAGAATTTGGCATTTGTTTTATGTCTTTCTTCTATTGTGATATGTTTTGTTCCTCTTATTCAGATAACTCAGGAACTGTTAACCAAATTATGATGATGGCGAACAACCCAGAGGACTGGTTGAATTTGTTGCTCAAACTAGAGAAAAACAGTGTCCCGCTAAGTGATGCTCTTTTAAATAAATTGATTGGTCGTTATAGTCAAGCAATTGAAGCACTTCCTCCAGATAAATATGGCCAAAATGAGAGTTTTGCCCGGATTCAAGTGAGATTAGCTGAATTAAAAGCGTAAGTATTAGTATTTTAACTATGTTTAAGTAACTAGGTTATATATAACTTTGCTGCAAAGAGGGAAAATGAAAACATATTGTCAGGATTACTTCTGAGAAAGTTAGTATTTTTTGACCAAATACTTTTGCTTATAATTAACAAGGAGCTAATGTAAACTCGCTTTACTATGTAGATGTTTCCATAAATATTGCATATTTTCACTGCTTAAGGAGATTTTGAAAAATAACTTATTAGTATTTAATTTTACACATGGAAAAAAGCAATATCCCAGGTCTTTTGGAAAGTAGAATGAAGAGTTATCAAATTTAGGTAGCTGTGTCCTTTTTCTGAAAATTTGACTGAAATTTTTTATTACAGTATTCAAGAGCCAGATGATGCACGTGACTACTTTCAAATGGCCAGAGCGAACTGCAAGAAATTTGCTTTTGTGCATATATCTTTTGCACAATTTGAACTGTCACAAGGTAATCTGAAAATGTCAAATCCAAATTTTAAGTAAAAAATAATTTCCTATTATAACTTACATCCTAATATTGAATCATATATATGAAGTGGAAATTTGAGGCAAAAGGCATTAAAGTTGATCAAATGAGAATATGGGGGGGGAAATGCCACCTAAGCACAATCCAGAGAAATAAGCATGAACATTGTGTTTGCACTATTAGTTAGATTCAGGAAACATCTAAAGGAAAATAGCTTCGTCATTGAGTGTTTGTAGGATGAAGGACACAAAACATTAAAGTTAGAGCTCATAAACTTTTCTTATGCTATGGTTTCATATAATAAAAACATATTAAAATATAGCTGTAGCATTAATTGGTAGTTCTCCTTTAAAATAAAAGGTAAACTACTATAGAAGCTTTATTTCTTGCTCACTTGGTTCTTCATAGTCTGGATCTTTTGGATAGGACCAGGACAGTCTTCCTTAGATGTTTTTAGTCTGGCTATTCCTTAGTCTTTTCTTTTTTTCCCATTTTCTGGAGCCTTTGTACATACCATCATTCTGTCCTCTGGCCAAGTGTTGCTATTTTTGCCTCTGCCCTGTTTTCTGCTACAATTCTAATCCCATTTACCACCAGTGATAAACATATTATCACTATTGGCAGAATCCCCATGAGGTGCCCAAAGCAGGGCTTAGTCACTGGAGAGTATTCCCCAGGATTGTGGTTGGAGAAAAGTATTGTATAACTTGGAGATGTTTTGAGAACCCTGACCTTTTACCTATTGACATGATTTCTGAGTCCCAGTAATCCAAATCATCTTATCCAATCTATCCTGTGCATCATCAGCTTACTTTTTAAAACCATCCCTTTCTGCCTAGAAAGATTAATTCTTCCTTCTTGCTTGTGAGAATAAGTTTGGCCCGGCCTTTAAGACTCTGTCTTCCCATTCTATTTTTAAAAAAGTAGCAACTATAAATTTTACATATTTAGAACACATAAATATTGAAAATCTTAAATTGAATTATCTGTTAAAAAAGAAATAAACTTTATCTGTGTCACTGTAATGTGGTAGTAGTCTCAACTCAAAATTATGATTATTTTTGAGAAAGGTTGATAGATACCCTGTCAGGAAATATGCAACATCCCTGCAATCCTATGCATAGTCTCGTGTGTGTGTATCTTTGGAGAGGTAGAGGACATTCCATAGTTTTTATCAGATTCTCAAAGGGATCTATGACCTTAATTAATAAGCTTCCTAATTATTAGTTCTAATTTAAGCCTTTCTCTTCTTTTGCTGTCCTAAAATAGTACATGAAATTCTACCATGACTCTCAATAAATGTAGACTTAACCATTATCAAATATATTTATATTTTTTAAAAATTTGTACACTATCAGATGCGAGAAGTCCTCTCTTAATCATCTAAATACCCTGAGTGCCAACTGCATAGCATAACTCAATGGCTCCCATAATGTTGATCACATACTTTGTAGAATACATGATGTATATATTTAATATTTATAAATCAAATACTAGGGTTAAATTTGTAGTTGAAAGAAAATTTCGTAATCTATCAGTAGTCAGAAAGGTAATTATGATAGTCGCTTAGTTATTTTGCTTTTTTGGGGTAATTGCTTTATTACATTTCTGTTACTTCTGAGAATGGACAGTGGTGATAAATTAATGCACAATTATGTCAATTACATGTTACGCAAGGAAACTATTTTGACATGAATTGTTATCAGAAGAGAGTTGTTTGTGTGAGCTTTGGAATAAATAGTTTTGCTCAAGTCATTTAAATTTTTTCCTAGGTCCTGATGAATAAATATCTGTGTTGGAGGGGTGCAGATTGCTGCATAAACATGACAGTTATTTTTCTTTGTTAGGTAATTTCAAAAAAAGTAAACAACTTCTTCATAAAGCTGTAGAACGTGGAGCAGTACCACTGGAAATGCTGGAAATTGCTTTACGGAATTTAAACCTTCAAAAAAAGCAGCTGCTTTCAGAGGAAGAAAAGAAGAATTTATCAGGTAACTATTAATGTGTGCTAATACTTTGGTAGGTAGTACCACAAGTAAGGATTCAGGATAATATTTTATAGAAAAATATTTAGTAGAATGGTCAGAATCTAAGATTAAATTGTAGATGTAAAGGAGGCAAGACTTTTAGGAGTAAAAAAGTCTTTACAACCCTGTTGAAATTTATCTTTTTTATTTTGGCTAATCAAACTGTCATTGGTAACACATTAAAAACAACTCTCTAAACAAGAGAATGGCTTTTTGCTTTTAGGGAAATAGAAAATGTACTTTGACTATGGGGAAACAATTATGTAACTAAAGAGAATTTGAAGAAGTAGTTAGAAAATTATCTTGATAACATCTTCGTGTCTGCATATCTTACTTGGGAACAAATATTTACCATGAATTGACTTTTTAAATATTCTTATTTGTCAGATGACCTTTTTTATGCATTTCTATGTCCTTACAAATTTAATCAGTTTCAAAATTTTCACAGCATCTACAATATTAACTCCCCAAGAATCATTCTGCAGTTCAACTGGGCATTTGCAGAATAGGAACATCAGTTGTGATTCTAGAGGACAGGCTACTAAAGCCAGGTTTTTATATGGGTAAGGAAACTGAAACAGTTTTTTAAATGCTCATCATGTATATAAATACATCTACATATGTGTTTTCGTGTAACTACATGTATCTACATATATCTTTTCATGTAAATGTGGTAACAGGGTTTAGCAGTAGAGTGGAAATGCATATTGATATTTTTCTTTGAAAAATTAAGGGTGTTTCCTTTCTGTTTAGAGAGAACGTGCCCCCACAAGATGCAGAAATAGGTCATCGGAATCCCTTGAAACAAGCTAACAAAACTAAACAGGTATTTTCAACTTGCTTTGATTATGGTGGTGTGTTGGTAGTGAAGTCTTTGTTTATTTCCCAGTTGGTTACTTAATCTTTCCAAACATTTTTAGTCATGCCCATTTGGAAGAGTCCCAATTAACCTACTAAATAGCCCAGATTCTGATGTGAAGACAGGTGGTTCAGTTGTGCCAAGTTTTTTAAAAAGGTATGTTGAGTTTTAATTTTTTTAATTTTTTGTTGATATTTGAAGATTGATGGCAGAATGGTCTTAAAGTCTTTTACTGAATAATAGTAATTATGATGACGTTTTTATTCAGTTTAGAAGTTACTGAGTCTAAATGCTGTCAGGAACAAAGGAATGAGTGGAGAAAATGACTTTGTTTTGCTTTTTCACTCGTTCATCAGAAAGCATGTTGGAAAAAATATTAAGTAAACATGAAACGTAAAAGATTATGCAAACATCCCTGGGGTAAAATCTCCTGATGTTTGGGCATTTCTTGCTTATGGATAGCCTCTCTGGTAAGAATCTCTTTCCAGTGTGTTTGAGAATTTCCATAGCACGGGTAGAAGGAGGTCTGGAAACAAATACCTTTTTCAGCTAGTTCAAGGGAAAGAATAGCTATCAGTGGGAAAGATTATTCAATCACATACTTCAGAGTCCCAGAGCTTCAAGAAGTGGGACAGGTTAGATAGGGATGAAATATTGTTCATCACATCCAATGTGTTCCCCTCAATTTGAGTGTTTATTCCCTTATAAGAAATGAGAATATAACATTCTAGTTTAGCTAAAGGAGACATATTTTCTGGCCTATTCCTAACTCTAACCACCATTTATAATGTTATTTATATTGGAAAATTCTCCTTAGATTCCAGAGAATTATTTTGCAAGGAAACTTTAGAAACACAAATGATTGTTTTTAGCTGATGTCTTCTATGATTAAATTCATATTATATTTTGGCCTTGACTGAAAATTGATATTAAAAGAGCATTTTGGAAAGTTAAGCTCTAAAATCTTGTCACTATCATCTCATCTTGCTCATCTCCATTTTAAGTACCTAGCTGAAGAATAGAGGAGACTTTCTCCCACTCTAAAAAAATAAAAACCAAACCAGTAAAACTCCATTTTCCTGTTGCCTGTTATGATAGACTATGCTAGGTACTGTGGGAGCCCACAAAAGAGTTTATACTCTGGTTCTTATCCTTAAGCTATTTGCAATCTGAAATGTAGTTTCACTTACATACTTTTTCTTTTCTACATTCTTACCCTAACTCCAACTGTAACTTATTAGAGAATAAGGAAGCAGGCAATCACCTATCGTTATTGCTTTTGTCATTGCCCAGCACCTAATTTTTTAGCTAAGTTACCTTTGTATTGAAATCATGTCACTTTTAGGAGATTTTTCCAATAAAAAAAGTATGTTATTGGCTCTTCAATAACATGAAGAGCTCTTCAATAAAATGAAAAATACATTGAAAATATTGATTTCAAATTAAATATTAAAATTATTTTGTTTCATGGGTAAAAGACAGACCTCTGGATCAGAATGCCGAGATGTGATTGTGCCTGGATCTAAATCAAGTGGAAATGATTCCTATGAATTGAGAAATTTAAAGGTATTTTAATTTTTAAATCTTTATAGGAAGCAAGGGTTCCTGATTTAGGATTCATAGAGCATTTTCTGGAGAAAGGGTTCATAGTTTATATATCTCCAGTAGTGATCCTGATACTCCAATGTGGTACCACCAATGAGAAGTGGTATTGAAGTCCTAGACTGTACTTCTCCAAGATTAAGGTGTTAGAGCAAGGATCCGTGATCTCTTAGGAGAACCGTGAACTGGCATTTATTAGGCATGTGTTTAAGCAGATTAGTTAGTGGTTTGGGAATACGTAGCTGGGGGAGCTGTTGCCCCCAGGTTTTGTTCTTGGTGTGTTTACTCATATGATTTTGGTAAGGCATCTTTGAAAAAATGAGTAAATTGTGCTGGGGCAAAAGTGAGGGCATAAATAATCAATCCTGACCTCTTGGTATGGCAGAGATACTTTGTGTGAACTTCAAAGAAAGGAAATAATTTTAGTTCCTGGTGCATTGTGACTTTCAGGGGTTATACTATTCTTACTGTAATTGAGTTAATCCCCTGGCATCATAATGTGGGTCTTTTCAATTTTATACTTTGGTAATGCCTCTCTCCTTCATGATCTATGCTTTAAAATACTAATTTTTCCTAATCATGGCTATCCTAGAGAACAGTGCATAATTGTGTCAAAAAGTTTACTCTCTGGATTTAGACTAACTACTGTTAATATCTTAGGGTTATAGAAATATTAATTGTGACTAATACTGTTATTTTTTTTTTTTTGAAACAAAGTCTCGCTTTGTCGCCCTGGCTAGAGTGAGTGCCGTGGTGTCAGCGTAGCTCACAGCAACCTCAAACTCCTGGGCTCAAGCAATCCTTCTGCCTCAGCCTCCCGAGTAGCTGGGACTACAGGCATGCGCCACAATGCCCGGCTAATTTTTTCTATATATATATATTTTTAGTTGTCCAGATCATTTCTTTCTATTTTTTGATAGAGATGGGATCTCACTCTTGCTCAGGCTGGTCTCGAACTCCTGACCTTGAGCGATCCACCTGCCTCGGCCTCCCAGAGTGCTAGGATTACAGGTGTGAGCCACCGCGCCCGGCCCAATACTGTTATTTTTAATGTTAAAATAACAATCATAGTAATAAAATACTTAAATTTTTTCTCTTGTCATGAGGCATATCCTATGTTGGAGTCAAGCTTATGTACCTTTTCTCTTTTTAAATGAAATATATTTTAGCAATTGATTAATATGTCCACTGAAAACAAATTGACAAAATTAATGGTTATGACCCATCCCATTGCTCTAAATCAATAATTCAGAGAGTTAATCTTGCTGGGAGGTTGTGAATCTACATGTGGTTATAATAGATAATTTTGTTAGCCATCTTTTCACATAGATAAGGCTTTAGTAGTATGTTGAACAATAAGACAAATTACAACTCTGCTGTTTATGGGACTTTATTTTTTAAAAATAATTTCGTATCTGTTCTTTTAATGTAGTCTATTCAAAATAATATTCATTCCAAGGAACCTCTGGTGTCAGATGAGAAGAGTTTTGAACTTATTACTGATTCAGTAACCCTGAAGAATAAAACTGAATCAAGTTTTCTAACTAAATTAGAAGGTAAGAGTGATAATTAGTAGACTTAGTTCTTTAATTAAGAAAATCACTTTATAGCTTGAGAAAGCAGACTACCACCTAAGAACTGTGATGTGAGACTGTGTCTGTGTTGCTTTATCTTGTATTTCAATTATATAGAGTACATGAAAAGTATTGAATCCTGTAGCGCAGGAAATTTATTTGCCTAAAAGATTCATGAAAGGAAGCGTGGAGAGAAAATACAATGGAACTGAGATTTTTCCCAGTTAGCTTGATAAATATTTTCTGGAAAGAACACAGAAGCTGTTTTTATTTGACAACTCACCCTTTCATTTTTTATCAAACATTCGATTTTCCACTACATGGGTATAGTCATAAATGTTCTAGGGATGTAAAAATGAATGAAACAGGGTCCCAAGGAGGTTGCAATTCAGTAAGTATATCTCCTATACTTACATATTTACTATGTAAATGTAATGCTGAGTAGAACATAGAGATTGTCATGAGAACCACACCAATGAAATGCTATGCAAATTCAGAAGAGGGAGAAATTTAAGGAATTAATTTGGTTTAGTGGAAATAAGGAAATATTATGTGGAGGAGGAGGAGAAATTTGAAGAACTATTAGGATTTAAATGGGGGAAATAGCAGTAATAAGAGTATTTCAGGGCTGGGCGTGGTGGCTCATGCCTGTAATCCTAGCACTTTGGGAGGCCTAGGCGGGAGGATTGGTTGAGGTCAGGAGTTCGAGACCAGTCTGAGCAAAAGTGAGACCCTGTCTCTTCAAAAAAAAAATAGAAAAAAAATATTAGCCAGGCAACTAAAAATAAAAAAAATTACCCAGGCATGGTGGCATGTGCCTGTAGTCCTAGCTACTGGGGAGGCTGAGGCAGGAAGATTGCTTGAGCCCAGGAGTTTGAGGTTGCTGTGAACTAGGCTGATGCCACAGCACTCTAGCTTGGGCAACAGAGCGAGACTCTGTTTCAAAAAAAAAAAAAAAAAAAGATAAAAGTATTTCAAGTGGAAGGAATAACATAGACAAAAGAATGAAATGTAAAATGTTTTAGGAATAAGACTAGTCTAGTTATGCTGAAACTGTAACACAAGTAGTATAAAATACTGTGACACAGGGAAATAACACTAGGTAAACTTTGAATGCTAGGCTTAAATTTTGAATTTTTTTAGATGGCAGGGTACCATTAAAGATATTTAAACAGAATCATCATGAGAATGATCATTTTCCAGACAAAGGTTACCAGATTAAATGTGCTAATTTTTTTTCTTTCAATAGGACTGAGAAGGAACTTTGGATAAAGTGAGGCTTATCCTAATGTTTTCCTAGGACTTTGCTGGTGTTAGTCTTAAAAGTCTAATGTCTCAGGAAAGCCTCAGTCCCAGGCAAACAGGGACAGTTGGTCACTCTGGAATAATCTTTTATCTTTTTTTACCATTATTTTAATTGGGAACAGATTTTTTTTCCTAGTATTTGGTAAAAACTGTTTATATTTTACATTTCCTTGGCATCTATTATATTATAAACTGGTATGATTGAGAAAATCATCTTTATCAAATTTGCTTATTAGTACTCATTTGACAACTAATTTAATGTTTTTATTTATTTATTTATTTTTGAGACAGAGTTTCACCATGGTGCCTGGGCTAGAAGTGCCGTGGCATCAGCCTAGCCCACAGCAACCTCAAACTCCTGGGCTCAAGCAATCTTCCTGCCTCAGCCTCCCCAGTAGCTGGGACTACAGGCACATGCCACCATGCCTGGCTAATTTTTTGTCTATATATTTTTAGTTGTCCGACTAATTTCTTTCTATTTTTAGTAGAGACGGGATCTCACTCTTGCTCAGGCTGGTCTCGAATTCCTGACCTCCAGCGATCCTCCCACCTCAGCCTCCCAGAATACTAGGATTACAGGTGTGAGCCACCATGCCTGGCCTAATTTAATGTTTTTAAATGAATACTTGTTGAGTGTCTACACTATACCAGTAATACTTTATTACTATAGTAAGACATATAGTCAGAAAACTGCCCAAATCATAAGAAGATAGCCTAATGAAATACCACAAGTGAATTTATAATTGTAATCAATACCTAGATCAAAAAATAGAACATTACTAGCATCCCAATAACCTCCTTGATCCCCTCCCAATCTAATTCCTCTGTCTCCTTCCAAATGTAGTCACTATTCTGACTTCTAATACCGTAGAATGAATTAAGGCAGTGTGCATTCTTAGGTCTGCTTCTTACACCCTTGTTTATGGAACTCATCCATATTATGTAGTTTGTTGATTTTTTATTGTCTTATAGTGTTTCAATGTATGAATATACAACAATTTGCTTATTCAAATATACCTGGATAACTATTTTTTGTCTAATGAATAATGCTGCTATGACTATTTTGATGTCTTTTGGCTCACGTAGGTACACATTTCTGTTGAGTGTATTCCAAGAGTGGGATTGTTGTGTCACAGGATATGCCTATGTTCAGCTATGGTAGATGGTGCCAAATAGTCTCCAAAGTGGTTGTATTGACCCCTTGACCATTAGTTATGTTGCTTTTGCTTCATATTCTTCCCAATTGTTGTATTGTCAGTTTTTAATTTCAGGCATTTCGACACTGCTAATTGGTGTCTTATTGTGATTTTAATTTTCATTTCCCTAATATCTGCTATTGGACATCTTATGTTTATTGGCCATTTGGATATCCTTTTGCGAAATATTTAGTTTGAGCCTTGGTGATATTTCTATTGGGTTTTCTTTTTCCCGTTGATTTTTAAGAGGTATTTATATCATCTAGATACAAATCCTTTGTTGGATCTATGTACTACAAGTACGCTAACTTCTCCCATTTTGTGGTGAAGACTTTGGATGAAAAGCAATTCTTAAATTTAG